TTTCTGCAAACTGTTTCGGATATCGGGCTTCGAAATCCTCGTAGGTAAGTCCTTCACATATACCCTAACGACAGCACTAACATTTTCAAACGAGATCTGATTGATAAACATACTGCGTCGATCTCATCAAGAACCTTCCAGTACTCAACATTCGTTGCCAAATCGCGCATATTTGCAGCAGTTTGAGCAGCACGAATCTTTTGCGACGACCAAACTCGCAGATCTTTCAGCGATTCGATCTTAACTAATTGTGCCGAAAAACAAGCAAGGAAGAAAACTCGTGATTAGGCTACCTTGAAGTATTCCTTCAACTTGTCGGCGTAATTTAGTCCGTTGAGACTCAAAGGGCTGTCTCCTCCCAGCCTTCCGATTTGATTGTATTCACTCTCACCATGCTGTAAAACATACGTTTACATAACATTACTCCATTTTCGATTAAAAAAAACACAACACAGCCACCAATGGGAAGTTCATACTCACTCTCGTTAGATAAATGCTTCTCGGCAACAAATGTATATTCATTAGGAAGTAAACAACCCTGCTTTGAACATGGCCATTCACGTTGTGCACGAAAAAAGACTTCCCGGCGTTTATCACCTAAATACTGATTTCGGAGCTTTCCAAGGTTCTAGATGAGCAGATCGAAATATAAAGGATCTTGATGTGGTTGTGTAGCAGGTGCGAAAACAGATAAAAATTTCTTCAGCGCTATAACGAGATAAAAATGCTGAAATGTTGCACTTACCTTGATAAATGATAGATCATCGTCAATCTCCTCATCCAAAGGTTCATACTGCAATTTGTAGTTTTCAATTCTCTTTAGAAAATCTTCCTTGGCCTCTTCCTGTGTCATTATACCTTTGTAATCCGGTGAATTGATCTTGACCTCCTAAAAAAGATAAAATTCGATTTACATGCCCTTACTAAGAAAATGAATGATGCTGACAGTGATGTTGGAGTCAATAATATCAGCATCGTCGCACACACTCTCAACAAAGAACACTC